CCCGGGGACGCCCTGAAGCGCCCGGGAGCGTGTGAGAACGCCCGGGGATATATAAGATATAGTATAAATCAGTGCACGATCCTTTTTGAGTCTCTATGAGGCATTATATCAATGAACTTGGAATTCATTTCGGGTAAGTTGCTTTTTGGCCCTGCAATTTCTCAGAAGTAAACAAATTATCCTGGCTATGGAATTCTTCAGGTGTTGGGTATTTTCAATGAGATTTCATCAGGGGTCAAAGGCAAAAATTGAAATTCTATAGGTAAATGCTGAATTATTTTTAAAGTGGTAACTGCTATTAACAGGAAACCATCATGGGACATACTTTGTTACAGTAGGAATTTTTCAGGGGTACATATAGTAAAACCTTGAAATCGATAGGGGGGTTACCACCGGTACATGTTACTGTATATGGAATAGTCCTATCTATAAATAAAGAAAGTCATCTATATAGTATGTTCAAAATACGACTTCGTAGTTTGTAAAATAAAAGTACTTACTTTTCGACGAAGCTACGATGATCGACATCTCATAATTAGGTATCATCGCAAAAGATACAGAGCAATGAACGCACCACAGAAAGATCTACGGTACAGGTTATTATAAAATGTCGCCAAGGCCCGCCATACTCAATTATTATGTTTCCTTACACGAAGTAGTACAAGTTAGAAGCTAAACCATTAAATTAGACGTGCCGTGGTATTGCGGGCTCAAATCCCAGCCGAACAAGAACAGGTCTCTGAGGTTTTGGATAAAAGGAATTTAATTATTTATTAGTTCAGTTAAAGCAAAGGAACTGTCATCTAATTTTAGTAAAGTAAGTCAGTAAAGTTATACAAATGTATATGGATTAAACTTTTTTCTGTCTGTTTGCTTTGAAAGTAAATTCTATTTTTTATTGAAACTATAAGATTTATACTTATCACTATTTGAGATATTTGTTTGCCAGTTTGGTGGGTTAGATTTCAAGCATGGTTATGGTGGTACATAATTTACATGGTACACGTTTATGATAGCTAGCTAGCTGACAATTTATTTACCTTAAATGCCAATTCTTTCACTTCCATCACTGCATACCACAGTCCATAAACAGGTTTTAAAACTCTATGAGGTGTTTACACCAGTCAATTTAAGGAGAAGTCAGAGTTCCATGATACTGTAAATGTACCATGCACTGCATGGGCATGTATGTGTACTACGGTATAAACTTTGAGTAAATTGTATTGCTATTTGTAATAAACTAATTGTGTTCTTTGCCACAGGAACCAATTTTTGATAACTAAATTATATTTTGATATTTACTGTTGTATTTTCTATGTAGATGCATAATTTGTGAATTATAATATTTGATGTTATCTGGATATTACTGTTCAGTTTTGTCCAATGTCGCCTAATGTCGCCCAATGTCGCTCAATGTCGCCCAGTTTCGCCCAGCGACGCACACTACTTTTCTTTGAAAATTGCCAATGTCGCCTAATGTCGCACAATGTTGCACATAATAACGGCGACCTTGGCCCCCAAAGTAGGCCTCCTACATTATATATCTTAGAAATTGATCGTTTTGCATATAAAAGTGTTCAACTTTCATTTACTTTTTGCAGTTTTGCACAAAAAATTAAAAAGATAATCATTGTGTTGCCATGACTAACATGACGTAAGCAGCGCGGGTCTGCGTTTAGTGTTGGCTTGATTACGAATACTGTCATGTTGAAACAACGTTTGGAAAATATAGGGAAGGGGTTGTTGCGTGCATGTATTTCTAGTACAAAATTTAAATTACCAAAAATATCATTTGTACAGCAAGATGCATTTGAAATTAAAGCTTTCAAGCTTTGCAAAATAAAAAACAAAATCTTTTAGCCAGAGCTTGCACGTACTCGGTCATAAGCGAAACGTCAAAAATCGTGCATCGTATAAAAGAGCTAGGACTTTCCACTTATGTTCATAAGCAATTAGCATACTCTGCCCCGGTTACGCATAGAACGGTGCTTTGCGCAGTTGACTCGTGACAAGATATTTTCGCAGATTCTGGTTATCGCTGGGACAGGAATCGTATAGTTACTTTCAATTGTTTGAAGATATGTTACATTTCGCAATACCTTTCTATAGACCGATTGCACCTACTGGCCCGCAGCAACAAATTTTATATAATAAAGGAATACGGAGTCTTTATTCCACGACATTTGAGTAACGGTTGGAGCTCAATTTACCTTAAATTGCAAAGTGTCCATTATCTACATTCTCATTAAATTAAAAAATGCTTTATCTACCTCTACTTTTTAGAACACTGCGGTTACCTGAGTTTGCCGAAAAAATCTCTATGAAATCACTGTCCTAGCAACGTCATTGTTGTTTGATTTCAGGATAGGAATTAAACAGCCCACACTTACTGTATGCCTTTGTACCGTCGAGTATTTTCCCGGATTGCAGTTATTCCCCGTCAGACTAGAAATTTCTTGAGTAATATATTTCAGCTGCGTCTTGTTTGTTTCTGAGACTGCGAAACAGAATTGATATTAATCATATAATTACATTATTTCTGGCAGAATTTAAATTCATCTTTGGGGATTATATATCGAACATTCCCGTGAGGTTTTGACAGGTTTATAATGCAAGGCAATAAAAATAGCAAACGATACGATTTTGTTCGAGGAAAGGCCAATAACTGTCACTGACCTATCGGCACGAATTTGAAATTTGCAATGTGCCTGAGTAGATTTAATTGACATTGGCAACCTTTTCTATAGCCTTTGCACCGGTAACAAATGTTCGAACATTTTGAAAATTTGACAATCACATTGCAGATTTTAAAGCAGTTCCTTGATAAAATGTTAAATTTCCATCACAAAATTCAAAATAACATACCTAAAGTATATATTTCGTAAATTGATCGTTGTATATAGTTAAAAGTAACAATCTTAATTTAAACTGCTTTTGCCATTTTGTACAAAATATATAAAAAAAAGTTTAAAAATTTAAATATAATCGTTTTGCCATGGCAACACACGTTAAGCGTTGGCTAATTACTAATGCTTCATGCTAAATCAACATTTGGATTATATAGGTGAGGAGTACCATTGGTGTACTCATGCATTTCTATTACTAATACTAACAGTATGCCGCCATTAATTAAATATCCTTGATTCATGTATCACAATCATAAAGTTGACCCCATTGTCTATTGTGCGAAAAGTATTCAATGAAATAGAGCAATTTTGGATACATACGTTGCGCAGGCTTCCAGTGGAATTTGGAGTTTAATTCCTCATCTTTTTTATAAGGTTTCCGGGTCCTCAATTCCAAGCGAATATTTGTTACACCACATGGAAGTTTCTTGCATGTTTCTAAAACGTAATTTCAACAACTTATTTGTAACTTAATAGCATTATTGTTGTGCATGCTAAGATTTATCCAACCCGCCATTGCAGAGTATGACCATTTGTAGTGGCAAAAGGATTTGTCTGATGACACGCGGATTTGACTGCCTAGAATATGAGAAGGGAAATGGATGTGGCATGCATGCTTCGATATAATTTACTATCATCGTATTCCCGGGATAGTAGTGTAGATGTGGAGTGTAGTTAAATTGAATGTTAAGCCTTAAAATGCCGCATTATTTGAAGTTTAATTAACTTTTCTATTTTAACACCGTACTTCACACTATTTACGTCCCCCCCCCCCGCCGTCTTTTTGTATTTCTATTTTTGACTGGATAATAATGGATTTTACTTACTTGTTGTATTAATAACATTACTCCAGTTGCTATATGGAGACGATTTATTCATTTTTATTGCAATTACTCGGAATTTATAACCAGTATTCGGTTCAAGATCTTTAACGACATATGTTGTTTCGTTGGTCTAGTGGGTAAAATACATTATCATATATTGTCAGAAGCAATACAGAAATTGCATATACGCGGAAACGGGGTTTGTCGATCATCAAGGCAAATGACCAATCTTAGATGATCAGGTGTTTAAAGCCCACAAGCCTCATGTATTTATTTATTAATGGCCGTGCATATCGAAAACTAATTCAATATAATTACTTTATGAATATGTATACTTTACGATATGACGTGCATAGTTGTGTGCATGCATGTCACCCTTTAATTTTCGTGCTGTTTCTTTGCATAGTTTGTTTCGTTCATACTAATTATTTTTTATAGGTACTGAATGAAGAATTAAAACAGATGATACTGCGTGCAAAACTCTTTTTTTCAGGATGGGTAAGAAATCAAAATGTACTTACATAGTGGTATTTCCATGTGTAAGGAAACACAACAAAGAAATTATTCCTCTCTTGAAGACCCCATTGTGGCTTGACTTCCAAAATATAATAAAGATCATTGTATCCCTCTAATTCTGTCGTATTAAATTCTAATTGTAGTGTTTGCCACCCAGTTTCAACCAATCTTGGTGCTGCAGGCTTCGGCAAAGAGCTTTGGTAATCTTTCGAAAATATAAATTTAATAATATACGTTAGTCATTGAAAATTTATTAACACATGAAACTACTAATTATTCTCACAACATGCACGTATATAAATAAGGTTAACAGGTGGCTTCACACGTATATGTCCCAAATGATGTCATTTAGGGTAAAATCAGGGTTACAGTATATTATGGTTGGTCTGAGATAAGTACTATTGAGTTAGACTTAGGGTTAGAGCAAAGATTAGAATGAAAGGTAGGATTGTAGGAATTAGAAACAGCTATATAATATGTCATTAGAATAAAGTGTCTAAAGTGTCGACTTCAGAAAAACGTAATTAGTATACTAGGCCGTGGGATGAGGTTCGAAAATATGCTTAGAAAACAGATTCCGTAGCACCCCTCACGTAACTACATAATTTTCACAAGAATGGATAGATTAGAACTTACTTAGTAAGAATACACTCCCCAATCGAAATAGTTGCACAAATTGAAGTACAACCTCTCCAAAGTTCAGGCTTCTTCGTACTTTGAAATCCGTGAACGGACATTGTTGTGTTGCAAATACGCATGCACTTGACAACAAAACACTTAATGCGCACACGCAGATTAGAAAAACTGATCTCAATCCAGGACTGAACAAACCTGGGCAAGAAAAAAATTATGAAATGTGCGAAAGCAGGGCGGAAATAAAACAAGATGACATCGGAATGTTTCAAAAATATATGATATTTTTATGTTCTGTGCATTTTAAAGGAGTTTACAAAGCATTCTGAGCAACGTACCGTGTCGAGTCCTCGCCAGGAATACTTCTAAGCCAACATTACAATAATAACTTATTAAAAATATGTTATTATTTTGTACTACACCAATTGCTTGACGTTTGCCAGCAAATCTGTTTTTCAGGCTTTAAATATATTATTACAAAAACCTAAACATTTTATACCACGCATACCATACTTTCTCTATTAATTTTTTGGGGGGGGAGGGTAATTCTAATATATACAAAGAGTCTGTTTGAACGTCTGATTTTCTTTAAATGTGCAACATTGGGTGCTGTGATTATCAGTAAAATATCATAATTATCTTTAATTTCAAATAAAATAATTTTATGCTTCATGATTTTATACATTAATTACTTACAGGAGAAGGGGGTAGGGCAAAGGTGGGGGGGGGGGGGGGGTTGCTAAATAAAGAAATAACGATCTACAATAACTCAATAAATATTAATAAAATTAATAATAATAATATTATAATAATATTATAATATTATAATATTTTAATATATTATAATATTAATAGTATATTAATAGTATTAATGCGGATTTCCATTCAGTGCAAAATATAATATTATTATATTTAATAATATTATATTTATTATTATGTTTAATAATATTATATTATTTAATTATATTATTTATTTATATTTATTTATTTATTATTTATTTATTATTATTATTAATATTATTATATTATAATATTATAATATATTATAATATTAATAGTATTAATGCGGATTTCCATTCAGTGCAAAATGTTGCGCGATCGACTTTTTACGATTGCCTTCTTTTGAAATACAAACAGTCAAGCAGAACAAATCTCATTAGCTGTAGTTGATTGCACACATCTCAAAAGAAAGCAATCGCAAAGTTAAGAAAAAACCTAGGTGGGGCCATGTTTCACTTCTTTTTATAGAATAAATTTTGGCAGGCTGGCCCCTCGGCCCCCAACCTGGGTATGCCTCTGAAAATGTTTTCAGCGAAACCATCATCGGCTCTTACTCCAAACGTTGTACAGCATCATCATCTGTTTTCCATCGCCTTCGATCTTCAAACAATCAGGCTAAACTATGTTATCTAACAACACGAAGTCGCAAATTGGAACAAAGGCCAACAAATAATTAACACCATATGGTTTTATATGACATATCGTTGCTAACATTTTCGAAGAGCAGTGATGTTTTGATAAAGAGTCAAGTACTCGGTCTGGATCAGGTAATCATTTGTTGTAATAACTTGAACAAGGTGGAGTCCAGTGTAGATCAAAGTTGTAGGAATAACACGGTGTAAGTAAAAATTTTCTTTCAACTAGCTGAAAGAAAGATGAAAACTTCTCCGAGTTCAGGTTGACAGAAACCTATTTACCCACATCGTGTTAATCATCTGTTGTTCCGATCTGCGACTTCATGTTGTTAGATAACATGTTTACCATGATTGTTTGATGATCGAAGGCGATGAAAAACAGATGATGATGAAGGTGATGATGGTGATCATGGTGGGCAACTTTTGGAGTCAGAGAACTGATGATGGTTTCGCTGAAGACATTTTGGAGCGCAGTGATGTTTTGATAAAGAGCAAATTACTCAGTCTGAGTCAGGTAATCTGTTGGTCTTGCTCCGATTTGCGTCTTAATTCTGTTGGATAACATATTTAAATTTAATTGACTGAGAATGGACAGTGTGTTTCGGAAAGGCTGTTAATGCTAATTAGATAGGACGTAAACTCCCTTTTTCTTATATGCGTGCGTCGTATGCGCAAGTCATTATAATTAGATTGCAAACGCCACACAAGTTGTATAACAATACGTCCTATAACCTATCAGGCTGTTTCCTCCTTCTTTGTTTTTTTTTTGATAAACTGAGAATGATGATTGCACAAATTTGATTGGTGAAAAGGCGTGCATGATCAATAATAAAACACCAGTGCTTGAGGATGAAATTGGTTGATATAAAAACAGAGTCATAATAAAGTTTCAGGCAGCGTAACTCAGAATTGGTAGGTTGGCCCTTGCATGACGCAAAGACCAACCAACCTTGACTAAAAAAATTGACGGGGAAAGATTTAGAAAATAAATAAGATTGTTAGTTATCGTCATTTCTCTGTTTAGCACCACCCCCTCTCCACCCCCGGCCCTCTCCAGTAAGCGATTAATGTATAAAATCGTGAGGCATGAAAGTATTGTATTTGAAAAGATAATTATGATATTTTACTGAAAATGAGAGTACCTGATGTTGCATATTTAAAGAGAGTCAAACATGCAAACAGATTCTTTGTATATACTAGAAATACCCCCTCCCCCCCCAAAAAATATTACAAATTACGGTATGCGTGTTCTAGAATGTTTACAGGGCCGTACGCTGTATTTTTTCACCAGGGGGCAGTAAGGCCTATATGCCGAAAGTCCAAAATATCCGAATAATAATTGACATTCTAAGAATCGTAAATATAGTTTGGTCAAGGGGAGCAATTGCACTCTCCCCCCTTACTCCCCGCTGCGTACGGCCCTGAATGTTTAGGATTGTGATAGTTTTTACAGCATGAAAAACAGATTTGCTTGCATACGTTATGCAATTGTTGTAGTATAAAATAACATCATATTTTGAAGAAGTTATTATTGTATATTGGCTAGGAAGTGTTCCTGGCCTCAGAATGTTTGACGAACGCCATTAAAATGCACAGACCATAAATATATCATATATTTTTAAAACATTCCGATGACATCTTGTTTTATTTCAGCCTTGCTTTCGTACATTTCATAATTCTTTTCTTGTCCAGGTTTGTCCACTCCTGGTTTGAGATCAGTTTTTCTAATCTGCGCGTGCTCATTAAGTGTTTTGTGGTCAAGCGCATACGTATTTGCAACACAACAACGGCCGTTCACGGATTTCAAAATACGAAGAAGCCTGAACTTTGGAGAGGTTGTATTTCAATTTTGTGCACCTATTTCGCTTGGGGCGTAGTGGATTCTAACTAAGTAAGTTCTAATCTATCGATTCAAGTAAAAATTATGTAGTTACAAGAGGGGTGCTACGGAATTGAACATTTTCGACCCTCATCCAACGGCCTATAGGCCTACGTATAGTTATGTTTTGCTTTTCGAATTTGAATTTACCTTTTTCCGCCAGTTCACCACGAGTATCTTGTAAGCATCTCATATTACAAATATCCCCACAGTGTTCCTTCATAACGAAATTAGAAAATTTGCAAATGTAGCACTTCGGATAATTTCAGCACACATGCTGAAATATAGTGGATATATAATAAAACGTGGGCGGCAGGTACATGTTGTTTATTAGTAACATCGTCCCCAGAAAACGAAAAAAGTAAAAAATGTTGTATTTAACATGAAATGTAGGATTCTTTTATTATATTACTGTGTCAAACGTATTCACGGACAATTTAAAGGGGAAATGTCACCGATTTTTGAGCAATTCTAACCCTCGCAAATTTTGTCCAAAACTTGAAAAAAGAATGAGTGTAAGCACAAAAATAAAGCAACAACAGACACAAAAAACATATACAGAAGTCTGGATAGGCAAGATTACGCCAGGACTGAGATGGACTGTAAATGGCATCTTGATTAATTGTTGGCAGACACTTTTTCAAGTTTTAGTCAATTTTTATGAAAATGTCATGTTACATGTTGCGTGGCTGTTCAAAGTTGTGTAATGTGACTCAAATATCATAACTTAATCCATTTACAATGTTTATTTTTAATTTTGTATCTCAGTTTTTTAAAAAAAAGCATTTTAGGTCAAAAATCGGTGACATTGCCCTTTTAAAACGTATTTAAAATTCAAAATATTCACTTCTAACAAATAACAAAAACTATAGCAAAACCTTGCCAAGCAAGACCATGCCGGGATATTTTTTTTTTAAACCATTTTGTTTTGTATCCTATACATATCTCAATTTGTACGATACTATTTGTTTTGATATGTCATGTTTTCATTGTGCTGTAGCTATGTTTTCGAAACTTGTAAAGTGAAAATGTAATAAAACATTATTTCGAGACATTTGTTGATTCGATCAATTGTGTTACATTCCACCTAAATTTCTCACTCTCAGCCATTTTCTTAACAAATTAATGCTAAACAGAAACTATTTTTTTAAATGTACGTCTAGGTGAAAAGTCATCCCATCATAGTGTTTATATTCTCAGCAGAAATCGAGAATAACAACTTTGTAATAAAGCAATAAAGTCGCACAGGGAGCCATTTTGAAAGCGTGCGTGTACAAG